AACTACATTAAGTTTGATATATAATAATCACAAAAAAAGAAAAGCATCACAAAGCTATTGACTTAATGCATGTGAGACCACATAACAAGCAACACAATCACGAACAGAAGCTGAGAACTACGTTCAGTTACTTTAACGGGCACCAGACCACAAAGTATTTAGAGAGAGAGTAAAGGAAATTTATTAAATAATAGTCTAGAGAAAAACAATTCCCAAATAACTTCCCTGCCTAATTTGGAAAAAGAAAGGTCAAGGTTTTTTTTCAACTATTACTTACCATTGGTAACTAAAATAAGGAATATATCTATTGCATTTGAAAAGGAAGTCTAAATACCTGATCCACAGACCCTAAACAGCACTTCTTCAGAAGTTCCTCAAGACAATGAAGAGCACCTTCCATCACAATATCACTCAATGTATTAGGCCTCATATATCTTTCATTAGAACCAACATTGGGTGATGATTTGCTATCAATAGCAGCATCCAGTAGAAGCAACAAAGGAAACAATGTATAGCTGGAAAAGAAAAACTAATCACATATCTTCCCATCGAGGAATTAAGAGACAAAAAGAATGAAAGAGGAAAATACGTAAGAAATAATGCAAGAATATAACTAATACAAGCATTACTATTGTCAGCATTATTAATCCACCATGTCTGTCACGGCATTCCCGAAATATTTCATATTATCATTGTGATGCGAGTATCACTTAGTAAACAGATGTGCCATGCTGCACAATTAAGCTTTTTAAACCATGTTATATCATTGTACTATATGTTTAAAAGCTTAGTTAAAATATAAAACCGAAATAGCGCAATGTGCTAAATTCTACAAGTCAAGATATTATCACTTCTTCATTGTCATTTGATAATGAGAATAATAAAAGAATAAAAGGACTAATGCAACATATTCTCTACGAAGGTTTTACAGCAATAAGATAAACCAAAGCAAAATGGAATTGACTATGTAGGTACTTTTGTTCCGTTACTGGTGGAAATACAGGTAGGAGTCTTAGCCAATTCCCTGCCACACCCAGGGCGTATTATATTGACAAATAAGTAGTGTGTTAAGACTTAAAGCATTAAATTTTCCCCTAACTTTTGGCTATTTGCATTTTTTCTAATGTAATAAAATTGCGCAAATACAAGTTGCTTGAGCTTCAAAAGTTCATGTAAAAACAATAGAACAATCTAAGAAAAATTAAACAAGTTGCCATAGCAAAATTTAGTTAGAAACAACAGGAATTGTTGATATAGCAAGAGAAAATGAAGAGTTAAGAGGTAGAAATATACTCAAATAAGGATTGGAGATCATCAGGAGAAGAGCGGCGAAGAAATTGAAGAAGATGAGTGAGGGTTGAGGGGTTTTTCTTAGGGTTTTGGTGAAGTTCGAGCAGTTCAATGCAGTAATGTTTGAGTTCAGAAAACATGGCGCTGCTTCCACCATCTTCGTCGCCTCTACGTCTTTCCATTTGAAGAAGACGGAAATAATAACAAAGGAAATAAGGGATTATGAGGTTATATATGAAATTTCTAAATTTTTTTATCTTTATTTATTTATTTGATTTATTTTAATTTGTTATAAATAAATATAAAGTTATCAAAATTGGTCCGTGGAGCCCATATGGCAAATCTCGCGAATCAAGAAATTTGAAGGGTTGATATGAGTGATCATTCATTTGAAAATGTCTTAGAATAATCCATCCAATCCAACTCGAGAGTTGCGAGTTCGCTTTTCTTCTTTTTCTTTATAATTATTTTTTTTTCAACTTCAATACTAAAATTCTATAAATTGATTATGTTTTTAACATGTTTAACAAATGTATGTGAAAGTTGATATTAATATAATCATAATATATATTATACAAATGAGTAGTAATGCTTTAAACCACAATATCATATCTTGTTAATATCAACAAAATGTAGATCAAGTACTATTATTCCAATAATTCTAGATAAAAATCTAGCAAACATATTTTTAAAAAATAATAATAACAATTTTATTTGGCAACTTAAGTAAGGAAAAATTAAAAAAACAAATTTATAAACCAAAGAATATATACATCCTAAACTTAGTTGTTTTAATTCAAATTAAATATAACAATTTTGTTTTATGAATCGTACCTCGCGAAGTCTCAAGACATAGAGCTTATATGAATCAAACTAAAAAGGACAGTTTCAAATTTATATAATAAAACAATGTTTTGTTTACATAAAAAAAAATACAGCAAATATATAGTGATTATACAATATAGTTCGCAAAAGTTATAAAAGGTATATATTGACTATACAATATAGCTTGCTTATACATAAGCTATACACTAACTATACATTATGATGCACTCAAAAACCTGAATATAACTTACTTATACATCAAATATACATTTAGTATACATGAAGTATACACCGATTATGTAATCTTGATCAACACAAAATCATATCTAAACAGTACCAACATTTAGATATGAAATCTTCTCAATATTCAAAATCTTTTTATTTATAATTCGCTCGAAGAGATTCATAGTTGTGGTACATCAATTTTTTTAAGAAGATAATGATAATGATGATGAGGAGGAGGAGGAGGAGGAGGAGGAAGAAGAAGAAGACGGAGAAGTTGAAAGAAGAAACTGGAAAAGACAACAAAAATGGAGGTGAATGAAAAATTGTCTATTTTTTAAAAATTAAATTGACCGAATAATTATTTGATGTAGTTATTCTACTAAAAACCCCTAATTTTACATGGATTTAAAAATTCTTGTTCTAATCATGTTACAATGATCATTTGATGTAATTGTCCTACTAACCCCCCCCCCCTTACCCCTCCCCACTTAATTTTAGATGAGTTAAAAAATTCTTATTCTAATCATGTTTAAATAAGGAATTAGATTGGATTGACCATGAGGTAAACTCATATTGATGGCTTTACTTGCATATATAAAAGAAAGTTACGTAAAAGGATTATTATTATGATTTATTAGTATATTTATTTATTATATAGAAATAGCCAAAAGATGACATATCTTACTTGAGAGTATTTATAAATTTCAATATTTTATTTTATTTATTTTTAATGTTATATATTTAAAAATTATATAAAATATAATAAATTACAACAAACTTAAATTACTACTTTATATAAGTTGTCAGAAGCAGAGGTGTTTATTGGTGTGTCTGCTTCAAGTTGAAGGTATTTTATGAAAAAATGTACTCTTTTTATTTTAATTTATTTTTTTTATCTTTCCTTTTAATCTATTATATATTTGAAAATTATATAAAATTCTATGAATCATAATAATTAACAACTTAAAATATTTAAAAGATATATAAATTCATTTATCAATATTAGCCCATTGATCAAGCGTTATTTGAGTCGAGGAATCCATTTTCATAAGATAAGATTAAGACTGTGCACATTATCATTTTTTTTAAACCCCAAAATGGAGAAAATACATTTAAAAAAAAATTGAACTTGACAAAATAACTTACTCAAGTATTTAAACTATACGGGTGTTTAAACACCCCCTTTAAACATCTTTGAATTGAATTTAGTCTCACCCTAATAGTACAATATTAGTCTCACACCGGAAAGTGCACTATACACGCACTTCATTAATGCCACATCAGTGACACAGTAATATCACATTAGATCCACGTAATTAATTTCTTTTTTTAAATCAAAGGAAAAGACAATAATCTTGTGGTATTCTTTTCACCACAAATAATGGGTAAAATACCTAAATTTGCCTTTTCTTTACTTTGATTTCTTCATGTAATAATGGGTATAAATTGCTTGTGATGTCTGTTATTAAATCTTGAAATCAAGTTTTTGTTTATGATTCTTTGATTCATTCTTAAGAGTCAATTTGGTAGATTTGATCTAATTAGAGCTGGGAAGGGTGTTTCTTTGTTTTCTATTTTCTATTTATATAGATATATATTAAGAAAAAAATATGAACACTTGAAATTTATATCACTTTTTTTAAGAAATTTTTTTTATAGATGATCACTTGAAATTTATCTCACTTTTTTGAAGAAAAAAAATTATAGATGCGCCTATTTTTTTTTGCCACCTCAACTTTTTTGGGTGGAATTAAATTCACTTAAAAGACGTTAATGGGGGAGGTACTTAAACACTCGAGTAGTTAAACTGCTAAATAAGTTATACTGTCACGTTCAGGTTTTTTTTTACATATTTTCTCTAAAATCAACTATTGTTCTTATAATAAACCTTTGTCAAGGTCATGGGGAATTTATCCATCAAAAACTTCTTATTAGCTCTTTTTTTAACTAATAAATCTCCTAACTTGTATTATTTTATTTTGTTTATGTTTAAGATCATATCATATGTTTTTAGTAATACAACATATGATATTGTCTTACCGGCATGTCATTTTTCGTGAAATGCATGTCTATGTCACTACTAGAAATTTAACCTAATGGCACGGCTAAGTTACCATCGCAATAGGCCTCTCTACCGTTGCTATAGCTCTAATGCTACGGTTTAACCAATCGCTACAACAACTCGTGTAGCAATAGCTCTATTGGGACGATTTTTTCAGACGGTTATTATAATTGTAGCAGTAAATCGACCTATTGTGACAGTTTTCAGATTAATAAATTGGCGACGGTTAGATATCTATTGACACGGTTGTGAACCGTGCGAATAAAGTTTTATGCCACATTTATTTCCAATTCATTGTCGACGGTTAACAAAGTATTGGTACGGTTAAACTACCATCGCTATAGCTTTTTATGCAACGGTTCTCTTTAGGTTGTTGCTACGATTGTTTTCACAAAAAATTCATTCTATTGCAACAGTTGTTACTTGGTAAGGCATCAGTTTATAAGTGTTGCTCAATGTCCATTGCTACAGTTATTACGGGGTAATGCATTAATTCTATATTTTTTGCAACAACTAATATATACCTATTGCAACGATAGGCTATCCCAACAAAGATATACAATTGATTCCACACATATATTATGAGCCATTGCAATACTTTTATAACATAAAATACTTGCGAAGAAGTTATATTTAATTACCAAAATTACAACTTAGATCCATGGTTGGGTACATAATATCGATAAAAATAAATATATAAACATTCTTCAACCATTCAAACTGGGTGAGATGTACATATTCACCACAAAGTAGTTTTCAAACTTCAAAAGTAACAGACTTTCAGAACATAGGTAAAGTTAACATTAACTCAATTCAGCTCCTATACCAAGTCCTCAGTACTGCTTTCATTGATATCATCACCTATATACAATTAATGAAAATACAAAATAATTTAGCAATTTTGTTGCAATAGTTCAATATCTTCAGTGATATATTTGTAAGTTATCACTCTATATCTACAACAGATATATAAATTCAATAAATTTCAAATGACATTAAAAAATAATATAGTTGCTATTGATATTTGCATACTGATTTTGAGAACTATTCTATCACTCCTAGTTCAGTTCAACAATAACTCAAAACTTATATCCTCCTTACTTTAAAGTCTTAATTTATGTAAACAATAGGAATAATGACTAACAATAAAGCTATTTTCTAACTAACAAAAGTATAATGACTCAGCTGCAAGAGAAATCAGAATAGTCCACAAACAAGAGAAACAAACAATCTTAATGAACAAGATAATTGTTACAACACTGAAGCTACTGGAAAATACGATTCAGATGAGCCAGTCACTAAAAGAAGGGGAAGAAGTAGAGTAAGAAAAAAAGGGAGGAAACATCGAAGCCAACAAAATTCAGTTAAAACTGTCTACGATTGTCGCTACCATCGATTCGTCAACTCAAAACTCAAGGTTGTTGATTGAGTTTTCAGAAGGATCAATAGATGGTTACTTTCTAATAAAGTCCCCTGTGCAGTAGAATTTTGGAAATGAGTTTCATTTCACGATTGAGGCATCATTTGCCTTGTGCACTCTTGAGACAATCTGTTCAGTCTCATGTGGCTAACTACCATTTTGTTACCTTAAACTGTCTTTACTCGACACTTTGGTCAGCGTGCTAGGAAAGAGGAAAAAGAAGATGAAGAAGTAGAAGTTGACAAGAGAAAGCATCCAGCTGATTATCATCCTACAATTTTTTTATCCTACCGAGCATCGAAATCCTCCATCTAATAGGGTATGGAGTCTTGTGAATGATGTTTTAGGACTTACCTTAGTTGAAGTTTCAGAGGTGTCTTCCATTCTTATAAAGAAGTTGGGTATGATCAAGCAACCAATGGTTGGGGTTATGAAGGCAGGGCTGCTGGATTGGCAGCAGCAGCTATGAAGGGACCAGAAACAGCTAAAGAGGAAAAGAAACCAAAAGCATCTCTAAATTTTTTTTGATGAAGATAATCAAATGTCACTTAATAACTCATAGCCGACGAGGTTGGTTCTAGAAAATACTCAACTAACCAAATGGCCGACAAGGCCACAATCATAAGAAATAGGTAATGACAAAATCGACAAGGTTGTACTCAATAGTCTCTTATAACATATATGCTAAAGCAGTCCAACAGACATCAAACTGCTACAACGAGAAAAAAGTGGAGATCTCTTAAAACAACAGTATATACAATGATGTTAGCTGATATTTGATAACTCATACCCGACGAGGGATCCTAAAAAATACTCAGCTAACCAAATGACCGACAAGGCCACAATCTTAAAAAATAGGTAATAACAAAATCGATAAAGTTGTACTCAATAGTCTCTTATAACATTTATGTTACAACAGTCCAACACACATTAAACTGCTACAAACAGTAAAGAAAAAAGGGAGATATCTTAAAACAACAGTATATAGAATGATGTTAGCTGATACTTAATAACTCATAGCTGACGAGGTTGATCCTAGAAAATACTCAGCTAACCAAATGGCCGACAAGGCCACAATCAAAATAAATAGGGAATAAAAAAATCATCAAGGTCGTACTCAAAAGTCCCTTAAATATTACAGCATTCCAACAAATATTAAAATACTCAATAGTCCACAAGGATATCGATATATAAACTTTAAGGGTGGCCAAGAGTATTAATGTTTTCTACTGCCATGAGAAATCAGAGTCGCAACAGAGAAATTAAATAGAGTTTCAAGAGAAAGATAATGTAGTAGTAGAAGAAGAAGAAATAGTGTAAAAACGGATATTTAGTGACACTAACCTTGCTCAGCTGTTTGAGCAAAAGTAGCTCCTCTTGGATAAGGAACGGACAATGTTGCTAGTATGTTAGGATCAATTAATCCTACTTGCTGAAGTTGTGCGAAGACATCTCTAATAACTTCTTGTCGCATAGTTCTCCATTTGTTTCTCCATTTTTTTCATCTTTTCTTGCATTTGTTGTACTACATCATTTGTTGCATTTAAGTTGATTCGGAATTGTCAAATTTCTTTTTCAAAGTTGTCTTTGTAACCCCCACTCCATATAGTGAGATGTTCCGGATGTTCAGGATCCATGACAACTGAAAATGCATCAACAGACTGACCATTTATGCTCATTTGCTTTTCAATTTCCTTCACGTAGCCTAACAAATCATATCCAACAATCAGTCTTGTAAACTAAAATTTAGAATAAATATTGGTCTTATTAGAAAAACATATCAACAGTATTCATACAATTTTGCTGGTTGTGTTCTCATTCGATGCCTTGTACAAACGATCAGGTTTTCTTGTTCTTGTGACCACAAGGAGTTCCTTAAAAGATACATATTTCTTTTCTTTTTCCTAATCACATAAAAATAGTTATCAGGAATTTCTTAAATGACTAGTTAAGACTAGATAATAAATCAGAGAACACCAATTTACTACAGATTAAAGAAAAATTCTTTTTGCCTGCTGTGTGTGGATTCAACAGCTTTTTCCAGTTATTACTTTTTGTTTCAGACATTTTCTGCAAAAAAATAAATAAATCAATAATGTTAAACAAAGGCATATACAGTGAGATAAGCATAAAAATCTCACTCAATAAAACATTTTCTCTATGATTGAAGCAAAATCCTCCGTTTTAGTTGTGACTAGTACCACACTGGAAAAAGTAAGAAGCTGCAATAATATTGCAACAAAGAAAAGAATAGCACAAGATAAAGTTAAAGAAATATAAAGTTGCAGAAGCAACTATATCACAAAAGAGATCTGGAGAGAATAAGCTGGATATTTCAGATTCTAAGCTAAATTTTACCTTGAATTTCTTAGACTTCCAATATTTAAGGAGATCTCTAAACTGACATTCTAGAATATGACCAGATTTTTTTGCCATTCGAATTTCATCATTATCATATGCATCATAATATTTTGTCTTCAAATCACTTTTATACCTTCTCCAAGCATCTCGAATTGTTACCAAAGCCCAATTTTGTGCAACTTCAGGAATAATGTATTTCTTCTACAATTTGGTGTCATTCAATTCGCCAATAGAAGTAAAATACTTTTACAAGAAGTTAAATATTGAATACTCTAAACCTTAATATAATCCCACAAATCTTTTTTAGTATCCATGCTCCTCCAATCAAGTATATCAAATGGACAAAGAGTCGCATTTCTTGCCAATGTACCTAGGAAGCTACTTAACTTTATCACAACGTCCTCAGTAGGACCAACCGGTTGATCTAAGCTTTTCAATAAGATCAATTTATGCTCTTTTCGTGCATGTACATTATGCATTTGCGTTTGACCTATTTTCTTTTTACTGGAAACACCTTGAACTATAAGAAACTATAAGAAATTAGAATTCGTAGATGAATTTAGTAAGTTTCTAAGTTTATATATTACCTTGTTCTTCAGGTTGTTCACCGCGTGGCTGAGTGACAAAGTTCATTTGCACTTGATCCTTTGTAGGTTGTTGATCAAGAGGTTATTCAAGAGGCTGCTCCTCCACAGACTGTCCAGTAGCTTCAGATTGTGGTGTTACTGCTTGTTGTTCAATTAACTTAAGCAGTTGTCCTTTCTCTGACTCTATAGCTTGAACAATTTCATTTGTTGTCAATAACCGTCGTTTTTTATTTGCCAAGAATGATAATGATCCAGTTTTAGCATATGTCTTTGCTTTTTTTTTCCTTTTTAAAGACTCTTTTTGACTCATGACTATCCAAATCTGTGTAAAAATAAGACATAAGAAACCTCTTAGTGCAGAATTTTCAAATGTTAATAACATAAACAATGAAAGTCAGAAGAACAAACAACAATAATATCAGTAGTAGCTGAAGCATATTATAAAGAACTATGCTCCTTTTGTTTCTTATTTGAAAAATAAATGTTGGTCAGTAGATCACTTTTCAACCAATCAACAAGGAAGATTTCATCTTGGGGAAAAGGAATAACAAGCAATGGATTCAAGCTGAAGAGGAATAACAAGCAATGGCAGAAGATGCAAAGAGAAGTATAACATAGAAATAAACAAAGAATCTTAGTAACTAATATATCTATAGTACCAACATTAGCAAGAACTTGCAGTAGCAAATAGGCAGAAATCAAGTAGAGTGCAATCGTCATCCATACTTTATAAAATGCAACTCAAAGAGGAATTTACTACACACTACATAAAAACAAAGAAGAGAATGTATTGAACAAGTTCAGAAGATCCTTTGTCAATCATCAGCTTCCATCCAATCCCAATCAGTATCATCAAAGTCATCCTCCTCTTCAGATGTTTCCATAGCTACATCTTCTGAATGTTGTGCTAGGGTAGGCAGATCAATGATATCAACAAGGAGATCTTCTCTCGACCATCTAACATCTACCTCGAGTACTTTTTCTGATGAACCAATGTCATCGTTAGTCTCTCTCCAAAATGTTTCTTTAATATTAGGACAATTATCTTCCTCTAAATCATACAAATCCACTGAAACTTTATGTCTTGCATAATATACATTTTTCTCAATTGGGTCTTTCATATAAAAAAAATCGATGCACTTGAGATACTAGTTCAAAAGGATCAGATCATTTGTGTTGCATTGTTTATTGAAGTATACCCAAGTCAATCCATATTCATCGACTTCGTTATGAAACCAATCACATCAAAAAAGTACAACACTAAAGCAACCCCAATAATCAATATCAGTGATATCCTGAATAATTCCATAATAGATAACCATTCCATCGATAGGATTTTGGTCCCTAGCGCTAGTAAAACTATATGTTGATACTGAAAAAGTAACTCCACTATTCTGAGTCTTGCAAGGGACATCCCGTGTCATTGTATGAAATCTATATCCATTAATGAAATATCCAGTATATCTTTTAGCCACAAAATTAGGTCCTTTAGCTAGCCATCTTAAATGATTGGAAACTTCTATATTTTTAACTTTATCCCTAAATCAATCACTGAATTCTCTACTATGGATTTGTGCTTTTACCCATGTATTTCCTCTAATAAGATTATCAATTAAATTCTTATGCTCCTTGCAAGAATGATATGCAATTTAAACAATGTTAAGCACATTATCATAAATATAAATGATGTTTAGAAACAAATGACTATTTTATCTTACTCGATGAATGTCTCTTCTTTTTCATCTACGGTATTGAACAAAACATATCGATGAGCTTCATACCTCTCATGATTCTCCATGTTAAAAGTATTTCCTTTCCTTTTATTCATACTTCCGATTGGATGACCTATCATAGGAAATAAAGATAAAGCATCACCTTTCTCTATTTGATTGTCCTCATCATCCTTGGTTTGATACCTACTAAATGTTGTCTTCACCTTTTCAGGTAGGTATCTCGAAATACAGGTCAAACAGTCTATAGCTGAAAAACCCTCCACTAATGCCCCTTCTGGGATTCGATTACAAACAAGCCCCTTGAAGTCACACATAGTTCTTTCAGTTAAAATACATCCAACGCAAATGAATCGGGCCTCCAAGCTTAATCTCATCCACTAAATGGATAGGCAAATGTGTCATTAAATCAAAAAAAGATGGAGGAAAAAACTTTTCAAGCTCACATTCTATATCAATGATTTCAGCCTTTAGCTTATTAACAACAGTTCTTCTTATAACCTTACTACATATGGCTCTAAAAAAATCCCTCAACCTAATTAAGACCAAAGACACATTCTTAGGCAGCACTTTTCTAACAGCAACTTGGATCAAGTAACGCAAAATGATGTAAGCATCATGGCTTTTGTATCCTGATACTTTCATATCTTCTAATTGCACACGACTTGATGTATTAAAGGCAAATCCTTTTGGTAGTTTGGAATCTTTTAAATAGTGCAAAATAACCCTTTCTCATCTGGTTTCATAGAGAAACAAGCATTAGCCAAATGAATATTTTCAGTATCACAATCTTTTACTGGTTGAAGCTCTTTGTGTATCCCCATCTTATGCAAATAATAGCGAGAATTTATATGATCTTTGGACTTTCCAAGTATATCCAATAAAGTCCCAAGCAAACTGTTCACAAATATTCTTCTCTATGTGCATCACATTAAGATTGTGCCTCAATTTGTTGGTTGCCCAATAAGGCAACTCAAAAAATATGGATTTTTTTCCATGGACCATCATTCTTTTGTTTTCTTTTGGCCCTTCCCAAAAACATTATTGAATTCACGAAGTTCTTCAAGAACTTATATGCCTGATAAGGGAGTAGGTGCAACTCTATGCTCCTCTTTACCATTAAAGAATTTTTTATCTCTTCTATATGGATGATCATGAGGTAAAAATGCTCGATGACCCAAATAACACATCTTACGATTGTGTTTGAGATATTGGGAACAAGTATTATGATTGCAAGTGGGGATTTTCCCTTGGTACTCCATGTGGAAAGCATTGACAATCCTAGAAAATCAATAATTGTCCACAATAAAGTTGCACGCAACATAAATGTTTGATTAGTTACAATATCATATGTTTCCACTCTCACTTCCCATAGTTTCTTCAACTCTGCAATCAGTGGTTGTAAGTATACATCTATATCATTTCTCGGAAACGATGGACCTAGAATAATCATTGATAACAATATATACTCCGACTTCATGCAAATCCATGGTGATAAGTTATAATTCATCAACATAACCGACCATGTGCTAGGGGAAATGCTCATAGTTCAAAATGGATTAAAACTATCGCTTAAAAGACCCAATCTAACGTTATGATCATCACTAGCGAAGTCATCAGTATGCAAGGAATCAAAATCCTTCCAAGCTTCTCCATCAGCAAGATGTCTTAAATTTCCATCTTTGAGTCGTTCAGTATATGTCATCTTATAGCTACAGATGTTTCAGAACACATGAATATCCTCTGAAGCCTGGGCATTAAAGGAAAGTACCTTAAACCTTTGCTGGAATTTTACTGACCTTATTAGTCAAGTCATCACGGACATTCTTCCATCTAGAATATCCACACACTGAGCACTTGTCTAACTTTGCAGTGTCATTCCAGAATAACATGCAGTCGTTAGGACATGCATGAATTTTTTCATAATGAAGACTTCAATTTTTTATCACCTTTTTTGACTTGTAGAAAGACTCAAGTATCTGAGCAAAGAGAAATGCCTCTTTTATCAAGTCCAACAAATCTGAAAAGGCTACATTACTCTAATTGTGAATGCATTTAAACAAGTATAACCGAATGGTGAAATTCAACTTAGAAAAATTCTGACACCACAGGTACAAGTCTTGTTTCCCTTCTTCAATTAATTTAAAGAATTACTTTGCATCTTTACATGGTCCCTCTCTTATTCCTTCATGCCTCGTGTCATCCGCTACATTTCTAAAAGTATCTTGAAGTAGTTTATCAATACCGTCTTTTCTGTCGAAAGTTTCATCATCATTGGTTAGATGCGGCGTATTTATTGAGGAAAACCCTTATACATGGAAAATCCATTTCGTGTATCCATGAACAAACCATGACCTTGGAAAGCTCGTTCAAATGCCTTATCTAGAAAACCATTAACTCCATGGATATTCTCATTAGTGGATCTTTGAAGATTCATCCAGCTTTTATCTCCAACTTCCATTTAATATCCTACGTCACATGAGCAAAACATTAAAAAAACAATTCATGAGTACAAGCACTATCAACAAAACTTTACCTTTCAAAGTTTGAATATTCTTGTACTTTTTTGTTTCTATCAAAATCATGATTGTAAATTATCTAATTTAGGTCATTCGGTAAGTGAAATTTAGTTATATAACCTATATTTTACTTGATCATTTATTTCCTCAATTTATTCTATAGTACATTGTAGGTACTGCCTTACAACACAGAAGAATTATTATTATAGACAATAAGGTAAAAGTAATTCACAAAAATGGTAGAAATGTCCTGATGAGATCATTTTAGATCACTTTAAACTAATAACCAAACAACAATTCATAACCTATATTTTACTTGATAGTTTGATTCCTCAATTTATTCTATAGTACATTGTAGGCATTATGCTTCAGCTAGTACTAGTCTTAGAGCTAATGAGTAACAATAGAATAAATCTGGTGACTCGTCTATTAAGTGATTTTTAACAATTGGTCTTATCTTTTATCATCTTTTAAAATATTTTATTTATTATATGTTATTCTACCTTTTCAAAAGTATTTATATTCTTTCAAATAAACAACCAATTCTAGATATTATATGAAATCTGAAGTCTCTTATTTTCCAGAAACAAATTTCTAGACAAGTTATGTATATAATTTTTTTTAGCTCTTGACTTATAAGTTACTTTTTACAAGTCCATCTAAACAATAATCTTCCCAATGAATGAATGACAGTGAGATAACTATCTAGGCAGCACAGGTTACCATGTTGGAAGAGAGAACTGGGTAATTTATCATGGATATTTTAAACAAAAATAAAAAGATCTGATACTAAGCTACAACATCTTCTAATTTACTACAACAAGAGCTAAAATTCTTAAAATTCACTCCCAGAAGAAAGAATGGGACAAACGTCTAGAGGGAAGAAGGAGGGATGCATCTACTTCATACCATCAAGAAAAATGAAAATGGCTTAGCCACCAAAAAACATGAGGAAACTAAAGCCAGATAGATCACCTCTTTAGGATAAAAGACACGATGTTGGGGTTCTACTATTATAATTGCTACAACTCCTTATGTGAGAAAGAACCCTTATTATAATAGTGAACAAGAACTCTTGCTTAAGTATACCATTAATCCTGATGAGATGTGCATATGCCCTATGGTTTAACTCACAGTGGATTCCGTGCTTGAATGTAATGTGCAGTTTTGAATTCAGTTTGATTAGATGAATCTTGTCCTTTATCCTACACCTAGTGCCTTACTTTCTTAAAGAAGGCATCTGTCCATGCAATTGGAATTTCATTTGTAGAGGTATACTCCAGTTAGCAATATCCAACTTATCTTCCTGAAGTCAAGTTCCACAAAGAATACACATACAACTACGTTTATAAAGGCTACTTTCATTTTAACTTTTTGCTTCTAATTCAATTGCATGTCAACTCATGCAAAGGGTTAACAACAAATAGGTCAGTAAAGCAGTAAAGTAGTAAAGCCGTAAATCCACTTAGAAAGGCACTAATAACTATTCTTTGTCTATTCTCTGTTTGTTTGGGATAACTCCAAAAACCAGTAAGCTTGGGCAACATTCATAATGATATGAAAATTAAATTTCACAATAATAACTTCAAACTTTCGATCAATGGGAAATTTAAGTTCACAAAGATAGGCCAAATGCAATATGCAAATCAAAATACCCAAAGCCCTAGGACAAAATAACCTACAAAACAACAGTTCTTTTATAAAATTGAAACTCAGCTTCTCAATTATTTTTTCACAGAGTTATAAAATCTTCACAAAATTTGAGTTACAAAGTTTAAACTACAAATGGATTACGTATAACACGCCTAAATAAGAACAAATAACAGACATTTCAACAAACCCATTTGTTATTCTTAACAATTTTTAGAAGACCCTTCAATGGAATTTCAAATTCTGAAAAATAGTACATCTAAAACGAAATAGAGACAATGAGGACTTAGAAATCACCTTAAAAATAGTGCACCTCTTTATCTAGAAGCTTAATGTTGAAGAAGACTATTTTTGGAGATGAATTCCTGAACGTTTTTTTTTGTAGAAGATGGAGGAGTCACCAAAAAAGATGACCAATGATTCTCTTCACCGAAGCTCAAACGTTGTTGTGGAAGATGAAAGAGTCACTGGGTTCTGGAAATTTAGAGAAATTAAATGTTTAAGTTTTTTAAAAATGTAATTTAGAGGACTTAGTTCACTAAAATGAAAAAAAAAGCGAGCTACAGACTAAAGTAATGGAGTGAAATAAAATTTTCTCATAAAATTCGTGGGTTGGGCAATTATTTTTTCGTTTTCACTTAACCAAACCGTTGTCACATACTATTTTTTCGCCACGGTTAATAAGTGTGTGGTCATAGATTCTCTATTGAAGCGATTATATAGATGATACCACAGTTTTATATGAGAAATTGTTCTACTAGATCTAAGAATATATTGCAACGGTTATAGCCGTCGCAACACATAATCTATTGTCACGGTTGTAGAATTGCTGTCAAATAAGCGTTGCATTAAGTCAAATTTGTAGTAGTGTGTCCTATTCAAAATAGTAACTTACATATCAAAACACACGAGCTATAAAGTGAGGAAAAACAAAATTTCAATATTTCTGTAGCTTATAAAAAGTAAAGCTACATAAGTTCAAGAAAACTAATTATGTCATTACAATTCAAGACACATAAACATACATTATTTAACTAATATGTTGATGCGTAACAGAATACAATTTTTGCACCATATGTTTAGAGGTGACTCATGTAGCCTACATACATTTTTTTATTGGACTAATATTACGAACACTATTTCAGAATAACTAATTGATCGTTATTTTTAATAAGTGCTAATTTTTGTTATCTAATTCAATACACATGCATGCATAGTTTTTAGTAGTAAGATGTCGATAATTTGCAAAGTATAACTTACATAAACCCCATAACATAAAACTTAAATTATATTATATCTCAAAACTTTTCTATTTTACAAAAGTCTCTTAAAAATTGTAGCATCAGGATACATTATATTCAGTCAGATACATAAATTTGGATACGTTAAATAACTTAATTGTTGCACTTAAATAGCAACCTACATGTAAAATTAATTATCAACACGACTCACGCAAAATAAATTGATATCAATCAATTCAAATCCGTAACAGATTCAGAGAATTTAATCTTCAATCTTTTTGTCCTCCATCTATTTCAAATCATAACATATACGAAATATATGTTGATTATATCGATTTTTGTTGAGATATTCATTCGGGTGAGCGATCAAAGTTATGAACGGTATAATAGTATTGAAATTGTGGTTGCACAAATAATTTGTTTTGTGAATCTTAAATCAATCATTACGGTTGAATCTCAAATTCGTTGTTGATACATTGATGCTACATCTGGCGATCTATCAACCCCATTAGTCGATGTTCAAAACAACACGAGAAGATCTATCAACAATGATTCAACTTTGTTGATTCTGGTAATTTTTTATGTTTTTGTTCAAATAAGAGCAAAAAATAACAATTTAAATGTTGAAATTGTTAATTTGGTAAAGATGGAGATGAGTGTCTTACGAGTGGAGATGCCACCAAATTATTTTCCATGTTCAATCTTTTTCGATCAGAACTCAAGCTAGTTTTTTCTATCTATTTGTGTTTGGCATTGCTTGAAGAGTTACAAAACTTTAATTTGATTCATAAACATCAAACAAAGATATTTCATTTAATATATCATTGACTTATTTAATGTTTGCACGTTGTTGCACCGTCTGAATTTGTTATTTTAGTTTATAAATTTGGAAGATACATTGTTAGCCTTGAGCGAGAAATATATAATTGTGGGAGATTCAAGCTAGACAAATCTTATGTACACGCAATTTTTAGAGCAATAATGTTACAGATATACATCTCGCTATTCTAATTATTAATTGCAGCAAATATGTATCAGATACATTAATACATCATACATGTCTGAAGAACAATAATATTACATATATGCATCTCCAATTATTTGATTTCGCTTTGCATTCCTTCTATTTATTTTTTTATCTTTTTGAATCTTTATATCATAAGTGGTGATACATTACTTATTCCAAATAGATATATAACTAATTTGACGTATATCAGTAGTGTTTTTAGATCTTTAAGTTAGTGTGCTGATATATAAAGTATCAGATTCATGTGAAATTATTTATTTTTATTTTTGTTTGTGTTTTAATAAATATCTTTTGATTTTTGAATTTGTATATGAATATATAAGTCATGGTACATTAATGGTTATAACTTGATT